TTTTTATTAATTCACCATTTGTAAACTGATGTTTACTCTTCATTTTTTAGAAATATCAATAGCATTTGTATTAAAACTATATTCACTGAATGTAATTAAAAAAAATCGAGAATCGAATCGAATCGAGAGCTTGCGAATCGAAATTGAATCGAATCGAATCGGGACATCTGAATCGATACCCAGCCCTACTAATCCAAAAACTGTGTCAGATGTGTAACCCTTAACATACCTTTGTATGGCAGAATCTGATCAAAATCTGAATACTCATGAATGTAGTATAAGTTATATTTGGTGACCACTGTATGTACAGTGGGTACGGAAAGTATTCAGACCCCCTTAAATTTTTCACTCTTTGTTATATTGCAGCCATTTGCTAAAATCATTTAAGTTATTTTTTTCCCCTCATTAATGTACACACAGCACCCCATATTGACAGAAAAACACAGAATTGTTGACATTTTTGCAGATTTATTAAAAAAGAAAAACTGAAATATCACATGGTCCTAAGTATTCAGACCCTTTGCTGTGACACTCATATATTTAACTCAGGGGCTGTCCATTTCTTCTGATCAGCCTTGAGATGGTTCTACACCTTCATTCGAGTCCAGCTGTGTTTGATTATACTGATTGGACTTGATTAGCAAAGCCACACACCTGTCTATATAAGACCTTACAGCTCACAGTGCATGTCAGAACAAATGAGAATCATGAGGTCAAAGGAACCGCCTGAAGAGCTCAGACACAGAATTGTGGCAAGGCACAGATCTGGCCAAGGTTACAAAAAAAATTCTGCTGCACTTAAGGTTCCCAAGAGCACAGTGGCCTCCATAATCCTGAAATGGAAGACGTTTGGGACGACCAGAACCCTTCCTAGAGCTGGCCGTCCGGCCAAACTGAGCTATCGGGGGAGAAGAGCCTTGGTGAGAGAGGTAAAGAAGAACCCAAAGATCACTGTGGCTGAGCGCCAGAGATGCAGGCGGGAGATGGGAGAAAGTTGTAGAAAGTCAACCATCACTGCAGCCCTCCACCAGTCGGGGCTTTATGGCAGAGTGGCCCGACGGAAACCTCTCCTCAGTGCAAGACACATGAAAAAACACCTGAAGGACTCCAAGATGGTGAGAAATAAGATTCTCTGGTCGGATGAGGCCAAGATAGAACTTTTTGGCCTTTATTTGTTTGAAAAAAAGGAGGAAAAAAATAAAGTAATAAAAAAAAATATATATATTGTATGCCATGACACCCATATCTGGTACTTAAGTAAAAAGAGGGGGTTTTGCATAGTTAATAGATTACACCATTAGGCTACTTTGCTCATCGCCCATTATAGATCAACTAACATAATCTATAAAGGTGCAAAATGCATTTACTTACACATATTTGAGAATCGAGATATTTCATGATATAGTTAACACGTTTGGGAATATTTTGAATAAAATAAAAAAATAAAAAAACATAAGCCTATATCAGTTATACAGTGCTATTGTGGCTGCTGTGTGTCACATGACAAGCATGACGCCTCTGACACTACAATACAGAATCATTTGTCAGATAAATGAAACATGATGAAACATTCATTTGAGATTAATCCAGTTACTGTGGTCTAGAAACGCCACTGCCCTTTACATGTTACTCTAAGAGGAGTAAATACGGCTCTCTTTTGACTTAGGCGCAAACACATTTTGGCTTGGTAATGTTTTAAAGACGGCCATAGGAAGGCGCTGTTGTGTGATATTATGTATGGCAGCGACCAATGCAGTCCTATTCAATCTTATGAAACTGCTCTAAACTGCATATTTCATTTTTGGTGTGAATGTTTCAAGGTTGCAAAACTTAATTAAGAATTTGGATACAATTATGTCTGAGCAGTTTACACTCTAAACTTTCATGAGCCTGGAATATTCCTTACTTAGTTAAACCTTTGATAAACACGGTAGTTTAAGTCCTACTACAGACAGACAACCTTCATCTGTCTCAGAGGAACTGAGCTTGCCATCTATTAAATGGCTTAGCCTTTAATCATAAGATGGATGATTGTACTGCAGGGAATCACATCTTTCCATCTCAGGTATTAATTAAGTTCTGAGCACAATTGCCCTTATCTAAAACATGTCTACTGCTGTAAGCCAGTGAAAGAGTTATGAAGTCTGGATGACAGTCTTTGTCCTTTTTGTATTATTACATACTCAAGCATAATGGAATCACATGCAGTATAAGAAATAGGAGTGGCAAACAATGAAGTTATGTTAAAAAAAAGGTTTAAAAAAGTATATATATATATAAAATCACTAAATTTCATTTTACAGTTACACATCTAACCATGACAAAAGGGTCTTGGTTCATGGTCTTGGTTCCGAGATCAGTTTTATGTTAATACATCAATCAACCTCAAAGAGGTTGTTTGCATGCAACATCATAGTTACAATAGCTTTTAAAGACCTGTCCACTGTAATGAACATGCATCAGAAGGTTTAATGTGAGCTCGATGTCTGTGTATTACTCCCATCCTTACAGAGTTCTCAACTGCTATTACCATCACAGTCAAACAAGAACCTAAAGCTAGCCAAGCAGACAAAGATACAACCTCTCCCACTTAGATCAGATTTAACAATCATGTTATTTGATTAGAATGTGTAATTAAATCCAACAAGGTTAAGTGTGCACTCCGTCTTGTCGTCTCCTCTACTTCTGGTCTGTTTTCTTTTGGACATTTAACCTTTACCGGTCTCTCAGTCTGTTCAGTGCATATATATAAGAACATATTTGGAAGTTAGGAATTGTGCATTGGCTAAATTCAGATGAAGTGTTCATTTAATCCTCATTAAGCTTAGCAGCAGGGATTCATTTAGCAAATCTAGTGTTTTATGTGTAGGCAAAAGGTCGGTGTCAGAAAACATTTTCAAGGTTGTTGAAAGAAATCTCTTATGCTCATCACCACTAATTTGACCAAAAATACAGTACAGATAGTAATGTTGTGAAATACTGTTACTATTTAAGTACTTAACTTTTTTCTATTTGAATATTTTTTTAAATGTAATTTATTCCTGTCATGGCCAAGCTGAATTTTCAACAGTCATTACTCCAGTCTTCAGTGTTACAGGATTCTTCAGAAATCAGTCTGAAGCATTTCTGATTATTATCCGAAAACAGTTGTTTAAATGCCTTTAATGTCACTTTTGATAAATTTAGTGTATCCTTGCTGAAATTTCATGCAATATAATACATATTAGACAAGATGTGAATAGAATAATAAAAAACTCCATTGTACAAGCCTACATGTAATATGCGAATCAGACCTACGTATAAAAATAGGCAACAAATAAATAAAGTTACCCTATTACTGCTACTTCATCCATCCAACTTTCCCATTGCATTTAGGATGACATGAGTTATTTGTCTAGTTTATCTCCCTTGAACCACCTTATGTGAATGCTTTCCCCCCAAGTAAAAACCGAAGGATCAATCTTCAAAAATAATGTTTCAGCTTTAATTGTTGCAGTCAGAAATCTTTCTCTCTGTCGTTTCTGACTTCAGAGCTTCCTTTTTTGCAGCCCCGGCCCACCCACCCTTCTGACTGGCAGCATTATCGTTCGCTTTTCAACATATTACTTGATTATGCTCACTATATTAAACAAAACATGCTTATATAATCATATGCCAAGCATGCTGGCTAAAACAACATGTCCTTATACATTTTTAGTTTCTGTGCCATTTATTTTCTCTCTTTTCGATCGGCCCCTCCTCTTCCCGTCTGTTGCAAAAAAATATCCCATTTTCACTGTCTCCATTTCAAAGCATCAACTTTAAACCAGCCTGTCTCTGCAGCTGCCATTAACCTGACCCTCTCACACTTGCTCTCGCTGTCTCCACTCCTCCAGAGTCTTTTAATAATGCATGCTGCTATAAAATTCAAATGAGATAGATTTTTTAAACACACCAGTGAAGTCTGAGCGCACGCTCTCATTTTCTCTATCCTGCTGCACCCCGGTCCCTCACTGTCCTCCTCGCCTACCAACCGTTGCCCTGGAAACTGTAACGTCCTGGAGACATGTGTGGTATTGAGGGAGCAAGGAAACAGCATAGAGGGAAAGAGTGTGTCCTGTGAGGAACGAATAAACAATATATAAGGGCTTTTCCCACTTGAAATAGCTAACCCTGGGTCATTCTGAACCCTGGATAAACAGAATCCTGGGTTATGTTGCTTGATAATTTACACAGGGTTAACAATGAATTATTCATACACTGTTATTTCTCACTTCTCACCTGGGTTAACATTGTGTATGTGCGCTGTCAGTGTCATTGACTGGAGTCACATAAATGATACCATATTTTTCATAAAAAATTGCAAAATTTGAGTAAAACATTGAGTATTTTGCATCACTGGATATTATTATAAACAGTTGTCAAATATTGCGTTTTGCTACTTTCATCTTACCTTGCTCTTCTCACTGGGATTCTAGTTCTGTGAACAATAAACCTTGCCTACTTTAATTTGATTGGCCATCTCAATCATTTTGACACTGGCAAGCGCTCATAGACAGCTGAGGCACACACCAGCCTAAAAATTTAACTTGTAAAGTTAAAATAGACCTTTATGCATAATTACGTGCAGCAGAACAGTGGAAGAATTAAAAATGTTGGGGGAGACAGTTTGGCCATTTCTTGCTCCCATCAATGTCTATGGTGGTTATGGCCCTGGTCGTAAAATTCTAACAGCAGTGTTTCACTCTGATTAAGTTGACACCACAATGTGGGTCAACACCACAAAAGCAGTGCTAAGCCTGCCCTGGAGCAGGGTTTCATAACCCCAGTTAAAAAGCAGTGCTCACTCCGCTTCTAAATTACAAGTGTGAAATCTACCTTTACCCAGGTTAAAAGTGGGATTAGAACGACAATAACCCAGGGTTAAAAGTGTGAAAAACCCTTAACTGAGACCTAACGGCTGGCACACGGAGCCTCAAATGTGTTTATAATGACAGAGAATGAACACACAGGAGTGGCATAATGAGAGACAGTTTATTCTCTGGACTCGACGATACATAATCAGTGTCGGTACAGAGCAGAAGAAGGATCAATACCGCAAGATCTATCAAACGCTTCGGTTTAGATACAGTGTACATCACATATTGTTGTTCCAAAGCAATTCATTAAGGCATGCACAGGCAGATCTGCATGAAATCAGGATTATATAAGCAACGAGAGTTATCATAATGCCTCCCAAATCATTTCATGTCACAGAGGAAAAGTCTTGACTAGCACAGGTGCTTTCACCAAAATGCAGCTGAATTTGTAAGGGAATGTTTAATAAACACAAAAACATAATTTTTCTTCACATCAATAAATAGATACTTTGAGCAGCAGGTAGAACTTGGAACCCAGAGAATTGACTCGGCTGGTGTCTCTGAAACATTTCTTTATAGAATTGCACTGTGCAGCATAGGCGATCTGTAATTGGTGTGTAAACATGCTTGTAAGGTCAAAGTTTTAGCAAAGCACAAACGGCATACAAAACAAATGGCCGCGGACTTGCTGTACGCTGAGAGGGCCGATTTCAAAATGCATACCAATAAAAATTTGTGAAAGCACTGCAGTGTTAACAGTCAAGATTTGCATTGCGAGCACTGTTCATGTCCATCACACGAATGGAAGCGGTACAAATATGTACAGACACATAAATACATACATATGTATATGCAAGCATGAATACGTAAGCAGGTTAAATATAAATATAGCTGAGCAGAACAATTCAAGAGAACAAAAGTCAAGCTGGCATTCACTGACTGCACACGGTTGGATCAAATGTGCATGCTACACTCATTCATATTTGAGTGGTGGGGATGTAGAGCAGTCGCAAACTGAAATGTATCAAAAAGAGGATTGTAGCCCCATCCGTCATGCAAGCTGAACCCAAAATCACCCTCTCATCACCCAACCTGAGTCAGCATGCTTATCGACATTCATACTGTTTGTGGTTCGGAATATGTTGCGCTAGATACAGAACATTTACAAAGAGCAACACAGCAAAGGTTTTGCCTTGTAAAAAAATAAGAATACTTGATTTCAGAGAGTTAACCAGTGCCCCCATTGCCATCAAAAAGCTGTAAACATCAATGAAACAGAGTCACATTCTGCATGCAAGAAACCCAAAGCCATGAAAATGAGGGATGTGTAATTTTATCTATAAAAGAACTCCATATGTAGGGATGCACAATAAGATCCTAATCTTTTAAATGTACAGTTTGGTAGTATTTAAATTTATGTTTTATCAATATAAATCTGGATATTTGGCCATTTAATTGTGCATGCTAATTTCCTCTATTTTTACATATTAATTTATCAATTTATTGGTCAATCAGTATTAGATTTTTTGACTGATATTTCTGTATTTTTACACAAATGTATCGGCTGGTTGGAATAAAAAATATCGGTCAGTCAATATTTGATTTCTTTTTATTGATATTGGATAATTGTGCATGCTCATTTCCTCTGTTTTTACATTTAATGATCAGTCTGTAGCATTTAAATGTATCTGTCTGGCAATATCGGATACCGTTTAGTTGATTTTTTATTTATTTATCAGTTGTCATATTTAAATGTATCAGTATTTTTTTTTTTAATTTTAGGCTTATATTGGATTTGTAAATGTGCATCCCTACATATATGCCTTCTTAAAAATGCATATATGCTCTCATTTCCTGTTTCAGTCACAAACATGCCCCCCTAAGCTGGAGTCTTGGCAGAGTCTGAATTTTGGCACAGTTGGTGTGGCCTGACCAGGAAGGATTCAGGTATCATTCTGTTGAGCAACACAAATCATTCCACCAAACAAACAGTTTGTGGCTGTGTAAAATGATTCGTCATGGTCGAAACATCCTAGTGTTCCGGCTGAATGTATCAGATTCTACTGTAAACATTACGGTATAAAAACATGACTGTTTGTATCATCGTTTTGCCTCATACTGCTAAAACACAATACTAAATTAATGGTCTGCTTTCTGTTTGCCTTGAAGGATCTGGTCGAGCATAGCTGTGAGGAAGAGGGGAGGGCATGTTGGTGAGCGTTACGATATTGGCTTCCTCACACTCACACTCACACACACACACTCAAGCAGCCAATCAGAGGCGGCTCAGATCCCTCTCGACACTACTGCATTCCCTACATCTCACCATCTCTGGGGTATCTTTTCATCTGAAACTACTGCCCCCCTCCTCTCCTCCCGTATCTCATTCTCTCTCCATCCCTCCATCTGTGTGAAACAAAAGACTGCGGCTAGGTCTCGATCCCTCCCACTTTCTCCTCACCTCTCCCTCCTTCTCTATCTGTAGGATTCTCTGAAACATCATCTCTTGCTTAAGTGTGATAACCTCGTCCTAATATCTGTACATTGTGAGAGAGAGAAAGAGAGAGAGAGGCTCCTGTGCTGTTTTTCCACATCGTTTCAATCCTTTGAGACAAAATCATCATGTCTAATCAAAAATGAAGATGTTTAAACGCTGGGTGCAGCTCATCCTTTCATCAAAGGAAAAAAGAAAGCCTAAATGAAAGTGTGTCTAGAGCAGCTCTTAAAGTAATTGGACTCATCTGTGGATGGATGCCAACTCGGAAGCCATCTGCTGTTTTATATAATCGATTACATTTTAATCTGAGCTTGTCTTTATGGATTCACACTTCTGAACAGGGATACTAAAATCAGCTTGTGCATAAAAAATACTTCTAATCTTTGTCGAGAACCAAATCCCCTCCAATTCCCTCTCATTCTTGTCCTCCCTCACATCCTCAAGGGGTGCATGACAAATGAAATGAGATCATATGTGTGGTCTCCTTACTGACATCATCTCAAACGATGAGTCCTTTGTTGAAAAAACAAAAAAACAAACATGCATGCCTTGCTCGTGATTCCAGGCATTCGAAGAACTGAAGAGTCCATGTTGTTTTTGATGGTTCTGGCACGATAGAAGATCAATGTATCATCCAGCTTCAGAGTCTTCAGATAGAGTACAAAACAACTGAAAAAGCATTCAGGAGCATTCAGATGTAGAGAGATGAAGAAGAAAATGGTCATCATGGATTGGTTGTTGTCTTGAGTGTCGTGACGGCCATCAGGTCTTAAGTATTACTGAAAGAGAAGAGGTGTTGAAAGAATGAAGCAAAGTGAATTTTAAACAAAACACCTACTTCAAAAATGATACACATATAAACATTTCAATATATAAAAAAAGTTGCACAATTTCTTTGCACAAAAGCTTTTTTGTCTACAACAGACACAAGAAGAGACACAACAAACAATATTGCTTTACAAAGCCAGCTTGTGATGTTTCTGTTCTTCAGCATTGTGTATTTTTTCAAACCATTCAAACGTTTGGGGCCAGTAGTTTTTTTTTTTTTTTTTGTAATAAATTAATGCTTTTATTCAGAAAGGATTAATTACAGTGATCAAAAGTGACAGTAAATACATTTAGAGTGTTACAAAAATATTTATATTCCAAATAAATGCTGTCCTGTTGAACTTTCTGTTCATTACAAAATCTTGAAAAGACACGGTTTCCACAATAATATTAATCAGCTCAACTGTTTTCGGTTACATTGATAATAGGAAGAAATGTTTCTTGAGCAGCAAATCAGCATATTAGAATGATTTCTGAAGGATCATGAGACACTGAACACTGCCATAATAATGCTGAAAATTCAGCTTGCCATGTTAAAATATATCAAACTAGAAAACAGTTATTTTCAATTGTAATAATATTTTACATTACTACTATTTTTCACTATATTTTTGATCAAATAAATGCAGCCTTGTATAAGAGTATAAGAAACTTCTTTCAGAAACATTAAAAAATTTTACAGACCCAAACTTTTAAATGGTGAATGTCACATTCCAGACATTCTTAATCTAACCTTTAAAATATAATATATGACCCTGGACCACAAAACCAGTCATAAATAACACTAGTATATTTGTAGCAATAGCCAAAAATACATTGTATGGGTCAAAATTATTGATTTTTTATATATGCCAAAAATTCATTAGGATATTAAGTAAAGATCATGTTCCATGAAGATATTTTGTAAATTTCCTACCGTAAATATATTAAAACTTAATTTTTGATTAGTAATATGCATTGCTAATAATTTCATTTGGACAACTTTAAAGGCTTTAAAGGATTTTTTTGCACCCTCAGATTCCAGATCTCGGCCAAATATTGTCCTGTTCTAACAAACCATACATCAATGGAAAGCTTATTTATTCAGCTTTCAGATGATGTATTAATCTCAATTTCGAAAAATTTACTCTTATGACTGGTTTTGTGGTCCAGGGTCACATGTCAGACATATAAACAGGTTACCTGTGAAAATCAATACTTATACAAACTATAAAACAACAAACTTAGATCCATTAGATACAGGCCCAGATCAATCTCACTTGTAATCAGATCTCATTCACATCCTGACTGTGAGCTAAAGCTTCAGCTTGACATTGATCCAAATCACAAAGTCAGCTCTAAGCTTGCATTCAGTTTCACATGCTCTGGCCTCATGGGAAAGATACTCACCACCCCAGTTGATGACGATAGTAATAATAATGATGACAATCCCACCCACCAATGACACGATGGACAGGATTTTTGCATTCTGGCCAAGACGACGCGCACCATCCACATTGCCCTGCTGCAGACTGTTTCGAGACTGAGAGTAAGAAGAGAAGTTGAATGAAAAGGAGGAAAACAAATAATTCCATTATCACCAGAAGGAATTATGCCAAATACAGTTTCTTGGCTAGTCAGAAATGTTTTCAACTGAACCTCCAAAGGCAAAGAAGTTACTTTTGTACACTGCGTAGCATAATTCTTGCATACACAAGTGAAATCGCAGTCCCTCCTTACTCGACAGAAACTGTATCCAGCAATCCCACCCCCTGAACACACAAGCACACACCATGACTGAGAAGGTCAAGCCGACGATGTTAATGGGCCAGACAGGGCAGAGGCAGGCCAGAATCGCCCATATGAGATAATCGTTGGGTTTGGGTTTGGGTCCGTCTCCGACATCAGTGGCTGCGCTGGGCTGTCGGGTGAGTGACGGTCGAGGTGACCCAGCGTGACTCACTGACCCGGAGCGGCTGCTCAGCCTGGCTCGCCCGTTTGCGTGCGCATGGTTGGGCTTGGCGTGCTGCTGACGAGGAGGAGAAGCAGCGCTTGGAGACCTTTCGATAGGACCAGGGCAAACACCATTACCTGTAGTGATGCGAAAGAGAGAAACACGCCTATAAGCCTGCATTTCAGAGTGTCTGTTTTTAAAAGAAGCAATTATTTTGTTTGTTTCTAAACTAAAGGCACCGATAACTCCTGCTCAGTTTTACTGGCAGAGGGGAACTGCATCTGACTCATCTACTTGTTGAGAAAAACAGACAAGAAAAGAGAGTGGGGGATGGTACAAAAGCTGAGAAGAAAAGGGAGTGAAAGCAGAGCGAGGTTGTAAATCATTTTATATCAGTCTGGCTCCTGGTCTAAGATTAACACTCAAAGAATCTGAGAAAAAAATGAATGCTGAGAGATCATTTTTCTCATAAGGACAGAAGGAGCAGCTTGTACATCACTGTGGGACTAAGGTGATTATTAAAGACACCATGCCTTGACAAGTTCTGTTTTCTTTCCTTTGTTAATGCACTGTCATTCAAAAGTTAGTATGATTTATTAAAAAGAAATTAATGCTTTTGTTCAGTAAGGATGCACTGAATTATTAAAAGTTGACAGTAAAGAGATCGTTTATAAAATGAACAAAAACTGGTTATGCTGCAGTTCTTTAGAACTTTCTATGCATCAATTAAATTTTTTGGGGGGGGGGAATGTATCATGGTTTCCACAAAAGTATTAACTGTGTTCAACATTGATAATGATAAGAAATATTTCTTAAGCAAATCAGCATATTAGACTGATTTCTGAAGGATCATGTGGCACTGGAGACTGAAGTAATGATGCTGAAATCACAGAAATAAATGACATTTTCAGATATATTAAAACAGTTATTAATAGTTATTAACAGTTATTAAATTGTAGTAATATATCACAATATTAATGTTTTACTGTATTTTTGATCAAATAAATGCAGCACTGTTAGACTTAAGAGACTTCTTTAAAAAAAAAATTTTTTTTTTTTTAATCTTACCCCCAAAATTTGAACAGTACTGTAAGTTTCCTATTGAAACAGGAAGTGGGGGTGTCATATCAAAGGGCTACTATATTTGCTACTTAAAATTGCTAGTCAGAGGCAAGTGATATTAGGGGAAGTGCTGACTAAAATATATATATATGCCTGTGAGTGCAAGATAATGTCATGAGTCTAATCAATTTGAATCTACTAAATGTCAATTTTGTAAGCTTTTAGGTGTACACTAGCATACAGATGACTTTGAAGCTAGCAGACATGGACTTAATGACACAAAACTCAAATTTTGATGCCATGGGGTCTGATGACAGGTAATGACAGGTGATATGAGCAGGTCCTGATCTACTACCTGAAATGTAAAATTAAAATTAATTCATATTGAAAAATATTCTATAAACTATTTAATAAACAAACGATGCAAAATGCATGACTAAAATTATTTTAAAATAGTTATTTACTTGTTTCCATATTCTCGTCGATGACTGTCAGGTGATCTCTGGGTGGGGCATCCTGAGAGGGGGCGGGGTCTCCAGTGGGGGGTGGATCTTGTTGCTCGGTCTTGACTGGCTGTGAGGTGTTGGCGGTGAGGTCCGACTCTGTATCTGGTTGCTGACTGGTCTCTTGCTCTGATTGTTGCTGTTGCTGTTCTTCCTCCACTGCACCAGGGGCAGCAATGGGAATGCTGGCCTCAGCGTTCACATCCATTCCCAAGATGTTTATGACAACTGATGTGTGGCAAAATCAAGCTTATATGTCCGAATAAATTTAGGGTTTCTGATTCGTTGAGAACTGTTGGGTAAAAAACAATAAAAATATTTAAGACATTATATAAATTGTACAATGCCTATTAACATGCGCTTATATTATGCAGCCAATAATTTACACTATCATTCAGTCTTGTGTGTGTGTGTATATATATATATATATATATATATATATGTATATATTTACACACAAGACTGAATGAAAGTGTAAATTATTGGCTTCATAATATAAATGCATGTTAATAGGCATTGTATATATACTCAACTCAATTTAACTCAAACTTTATTTATAAAGCACTTTCAACACCACGACTGGAACCAAAGTGCTGTACAGAGAAAGATAAGAGAAAAAAAAGAGGCAAGTGATATATACAGTGGGGCAAAAAAGTATTTAGTCAGCCACCAATTGTGCAAGTTCTCCCACTTAAAAAGATGAGAGAGGCCTGTAATTTTCATCATAGGTATACCTCAACTATGAGAGACAAAATGAGAAAAGAAAATCCAGAAAATCACATTGTAGGATTTTTAAAGAATTAATTGGTAAATTCCTCGGTAAAATATTAAAATACGCGTATATTATACAGCCAATAATTTACACTATCATTCAGTCTTGTGTGTGTGTGTATATATATATATATATATATATGTATATATTTACACACAAGACTGAATGAAAGTGTAAATTATTGGCTTCATAATATAAATGCATTTTAATAGGCATTGTATATATACTCAACTCAATTTAACTCAAACTTTATTTATAAAGCACTTTCAACACCACGACTGGAACCAAAGTGCTGTACAGAGAAAGATAAGAGAAAAAAAAGAGGCAAGTGATATATACAGTGGGGCAAAAAAGTATTTAGTCAGCCACCAATTGTGCAAGTTCTCCCACTTAAAAAGATGAGAGAGGCCTGTAATTTTCATCATAGGTATACCTCAACTATGAGAGACAAAATGAGAAAAGAAAATCCAGAAAATCACATTGTAGGATTTTTAAAGAATTAATTGGTAAATTCCTCGGTAAAATAAGTATTTGGTCACCTACAAACAAGAAAGATTTCTGGCTCTCACAGACCTGTAACTTCTTCTTTAAGAAGGACTTCTCTGTCCTCCACTCGTTACCTGTATTAATGGCATCTGTTTGAACTCGTTATCAGTATAAAAGACACCTGTCCACAACCTCAAACAGTCACACTCCAAACTCCACCATGGCCAAGACCAAAGAGCTGTCAAAGGACACCAGAAACAAAATTATAGACCTGCACCAGGCTGGGAAGACTGAATCTGCAATAGGTAAGCAGCTTGGTGTGAAGAAATCAACTGTGGGAGCAATTATTAGAAAATGGAAGACATACAAGACCACTGATAATCTCCCTCGATCTGGGGCTCCATGCAAGATCTCACCCCGTGGGGTCAAAATTATCACAAGAACTGTGAGCAAAAATCCCAGAACCACACGGGGGGACCTAGTGAATGACCTGCAGAGAGCTGGGACCAAAGTAACAAAGGCTACCATCAGTAACACACTGCGCTGCCAGGGACTCAAATCCTGCAGTGCCAGATGTGTCCCCCTGCTTAAGCCAGTACATGTCCAGGCCCGTCTGAAGTTTGCTGGAGAGCATTTGGATGATCCAGAAGAGGATTGGGAGAATGTCATATGGTCAGATGAAACCAAAATATAACTTTTTGGTAAAAACTCAACTTGTCGTGTTTGGAGGAGAAAGAATGCTGAGTTGCATCCAAAGAACACCATACCTACTGTGAAGCATGGGGGTGGAAACATCATGTTTTGGGGCTGTTTTTCTGCAAAGGGGCCAGGACGACTGATCCGTGTAAACGGAAGAATGAATGGGGCCATGTATCGTGAGGTTTTGAGTGAAAACCTCCTTCCATCAGCAAGGGCATTGAAGATGAAACGTGGCTGGGTCTTTCAGCATGACAATGATCCCAAACACACCGCCCGGGCAACGAAGGAGTGGCTTCGTAAGAAGCATTTCAAGGTCCTGGAGTGGCCTAGCCAGTCTCCAGATCTCAACCCCATAGAAAATCTTTGGAGGGAGTTGAAAATCCGTGTTGCCCAGCGACAGCCCCAAAACATTACTGCTCTAGAGGAGATCTGCCTGGAGGAATGGGCCAAAATACCAGCAACAGTGTGTGAAAACCTTGTGAAGCCTTACAGAAAACGTTTGACCTCTGTCATTGCCAACAAAGGGTATATAACAAAGTATTGAGATGAAATTTTGTTATTGACCAAATACTTATTTTCCACCATAATTTGCAAATAAATTCTTTAAAAATCCTACAATGTGATTTTCTGGATTTTTTTTTCTCATTTTGTCTCTCATAGTTGAGGTATACCTATGATAAATTACAGGCCTCTCTCATCTTTTTAAGTGGGAGAACTTGCACAATTGGTGGCTGACTAAATACTTTTTTTCCCCACTGTATAATATATATATATAATTGTTTAAAGAATTATAATTTTTTTTTGCAAGGATGATCAAAAGTGACACTAAAGAAGTTTCTAATTTATATAATTACAAAAGATTTATTTTAAAAATGCTGTTCTCTTAAACTTTATATTCATCATAGAATCCTGACAAATCTATCACGGTTTCCACAAAAAATAATAAGTAGCACAATAGTCTAGTCTATAACAAATGTTTCTAGAGAACCATATCAGCATACTATGATTTCTGAAGGATCCCGTGACACTGAGGACTGGAGTAATGATGCTGAAAATTCCCCTTTACCATCACAGGAATAAATTACATTTGAACATATTTCAGAATAACAAACAGATATTTAAAAAGGTAATATTTAATTTGTTCTGTTTCACTGTATTTTGTTCAAAATACTACTGTTTTTTTTTCAGAAATATTGAAAAATCCTACTGACCCCAATTTACATCTTAAAATTACATTCTGGAAAATTTACTACACAGTTAAGCTTTACACATGATAAAAATTAAGATTTAAATGTTAAACAAATTACTGGAACTACTCTTCTTACTAGCACTTGAGTTTTTTTCTTAAAACCTAACTTGTACCCTTATCTACGTGTTTAAAGGTGAAGTAATTTCTACATTAAATAGAATTACATTTTTACATTAAATAGAATTTTAGTCATGCCCCAAATTTTGAACAAACATTTTGGTATGTTTATCTGTTCTTTACTGTACAGAGGGGCTGCTTTTTTTCAACATGTCAGTCTGCACCTGTCCACCTGCTTACATTTAATCTCCCTCAGAGCAGGAATCTGTCCTGAGACCCTGCAGGGACAAAAACGAAACATAAAGACCACAGCCTTGTTTGTGTGCGATCCTCATCCGCCTCATCATACAGATCTGAAAGATGACAGATTGTTGTGGGAGAGCTGCAGCCATCAAAACTGGACTGCCTAAAACTACACAACATGTTGTAGCTATGTATGGTCTTTAAAACTAGCTCTGTCACACCCAAGAAACACCTATTCAAATGCAAAATGAAACCAACTAAAGACCCTAATCATATTCATCATATTCAGATAGAAACAAAGTAATTACATAAAGTACACGCTGTACTTAAAAGTCCACATGTGCCTTAGATATAGCCTATACACCAACGTCTGTGAGAAAACAAAGACCATCAGATGACACACCCATATCTGCAACAATAAAACATTTTATGATTTATAACAATATATGCTAACTGAACACTGCCTCGTGCGCAATGTTGCTTTTAACATTACCCTCGAATCAATTGAATAATCAATCAATCTCACATCAATGACTTTTCCCTTTCACCTGTCTCTTCACTCTTTGAAATTCAAAGAGGTACCAGTCTAGAGATAAGCACACAACAGACACACACGGGTCCTCTGCGCGCCTGCCAAATGGCTATATCATAATTCAGTGAGAATAATGGTCATAGAGCACACCGAGAGCAGCGCATGCACACATATACATACAGAAAACAGCAGTAAGAAAAGTGACACACCCACAGCACCCGAGCCACGACTGATGCACTGATGCGAGAACCGAAATGATCGTAATAATTCAGGAGCATGCATGCAGATCGAAAGTGAACTCACCTTAATCTAATGCAAAATGACTGCAAAAATAATTAGGATCTTTCTCATTTTGAATTTAAATAAACAGTTGCACATCGACGTTCAGGTGGTGCCACAGAATTAAGACGAAAACAAAGCCTTGCTTTATCCTACCATATACTAGTGTGTGTATCAGTGTAAAAACGTGGGGTGGTCTGTCGGCATATGATCCACTGCGTTTATGACTCGGTTCTCCCTCACTGCATGAACCTGTGCGCGTGCTCCACTCTGTGGCGTGTGTGTGTTTGTCTTTTTTTGGTGGTTTACTCGCAGAGAGAGAGCTCTGGACAGTGCTGCCAACTTATTTTCAGGAGACGTTGCTAAAGGAAGTTTGATTTGTTGCTAAAAGTTGCTAAATGATGCTGTGATGTTACATAATCACAACGCAAAATTGTCACTGCATCAAATCTTAGCAAAAATATATTGTATATGTTAATTTAGATTTGTTCATAAAATCATATATGGATAATATAATATTAAAATATAAATAACTATTTTATATACAAAACAAGTTGCCAAATACATTTTAAAAATAGCTCAATTTGTTGCTAGGTGCTTTTGGAAGAAAAAGTTGCTAGGGTAGTCTGAAAAGTTTCTAAATTTAGCAACACTGGCTCTGGACAGTGTTAGGAATTTTGATTCAGTAACTCGAATCTTTTGAATCGGTTGAGTCAGCCACACCTACCTAAAACGGCTCATTCTAACACGCCCCCACATGTCTACGTCACTATGTGGGAAGATTTGCATAACGCCGCCCAAATGTTCGCTGTAGTATTGTTGCTGCCGCCATGTCCTGAAGACACTGTGTGTTTTGTTGTGAAAGCGAAACTACTTTGTTTGGCCTTCCAAAAGTCGCTGAGGAAATACATCAACTTTGCGCTGTGGATCACCGAATCGGCTTTCACCGTGGACGAAGTGGAGTCCCGGGGTCGTCACATGTGATTGCCGCTCCTTCGTCGAATCCGCCAGCCGCGCCGTTCTCAAGCCCGCAGGCCGCCGCTCACTCTAGCCCGGCCGTGTGTGACGCTGTGTGTTTCGTTGTGAAAGCGAAACTACTTAGTTTGACCTTCCAAAAGAAGACACGACTAGAACTCAGTGGTTAAGTTGTATTTACAACACTGTTCCAGAACAGGTCAACCCAAATAGAAGAATGCTTGCAATGTCGCCACCTGCAGGCGTAACAATGTAGCTACAAAGACTTGTAGTATCAAAACGTCCATAAAACTGTAAAGTCTTACCACAGTTGACAGACGCCCACAAGGTCATCCCATGTATTTAACCCGCTAAAGTGTTCTGAGCTGAACTAGATTTGATGACTAGTTCATGAACAAATTCATTGCATGTCACGTGACAAATGAACTACTTCCAAGTGGTGAAGTAATTTTTATTTCTTTTTTTTCTAATTTGGGATTTGATAAATATTTCGCAAAGACTGAACGCGTATGGGTAATCTGTCTAAAATGTAACATTTTCAATAGAAGCTTAACGAGAGATTAAAATGAATAAAAAACACTATATGGCAGTGCCAACATGTAGCCAAATATCTAAATCACAAGCATTCACAACCCGCATTTATTAACAAATGTTTATGTTAATATTTATTTTTTCAGTGGCACACACACCTTTGTTTCTGTGAATTGTGGGGACTTTCCATAGACTGCTATTACTTTTATACTGACCAAACTAAATTTTCTATCCCCCAACCCTAAACCTACCCCTTACAGAAAAACTGTTTGCATTGTAACACTTTCAGATAAACATCATTTACTATTTTTAATCATTTCTTTCCCTCGTGGGGACTGCAGGCCGGTCAGGTTTCAAAAATTTCAGGTTTTACTATCCTTGTGGGGACATTTGGTCACACACACATACACATTTTGAGTACTCTGATTGGATGTCCAGCCCCAGGACATCGTTTATGTTGTTGTATGAATCTGTGGTATATATATGATCCATCTTCCTTAATGAACTTGAGACTGTTATGGTAGTGCACTGGCTCTGTGTCTGCTTGATCATTCTCCCGGGATCCCACACCACAGGGCTTGACTCACAGTTGATGACTGATAGCATCGAAACTATAAATAGTCTAAACTAAAATTTGATCTAATTTTATGAAATGAAATAAATGAAGAGCGCTGATAAGCAATGCAAAATATTTTATTTGATATGTGAGGTATTATTGGACACTAAATGTTGTTTTATTGCTGTAAAAAGTAAAGCACAGTAAAGAAACATATTCTAGAAAGCTCTTTTGGTTGAACTGAATTATTTAAGGCACCATTGGCACATTTCAGCATGATACTTGAACACAAAGTAAAGTCTATAAGATGTATACGTGTTAGTAAAGCAAAAACATATCAGATTACATATTACAATGAACTGAGCGCTAGTTCAACTAAGACAGCAAAGGTACTGCTAATGCTACACTTACATGGCTTTATTGTAATCAATTAAGAATGAAAACAATAACAGAGTGCAGCAGCATCAGTTTTTATTCATGCATATCAAGTGGTATAAGGCCTCTTAACCTCGGTCTCTCCTATTTTTTATTTATTCATCCTGTCCTTTGCCCTGCAGAGCCCCCAGAAGGCCATTGGCAGTAGTAAAGAGATTAATAGGAGAGGAGCCATCTGTAATAAGAGTAGACTTCAGACCCAAAGACTGCAGGAGCTTCACCTGGAAGAAAACATGGTACATGTTTTATTAGGTTATTTATCCCACTGACAAAATATTAAAACAACAGAATCTACATCCATCCATAAAACATTTTGATGCAAAGCCACTACAGAAAGATGTTAATTTGCTATCCCAATGCTGACTTACCTGTAGTTCAGGCCCAGCTCGGGCCATTTCCTTCAGGGTTTCTGTGCCCAGGCTCTCGATCAACTCCTTGAAGCGCAGGCTCTCAATCTCTGCCAGTTTCTGCTGCTTCTGTACCTCCAGTTGGTCCATCTCCTTCTTGTAATTCAGCTCCTGCTCACGCGCCTTACACAGACGGGCCAGCTCAGCATCCTGACACACAGAGGAGAGGAAAATGGTCCAAATCTAGCAGGGTAAGAATAGAAAAAGATGACACCTAGCCTAGTCTGGATGACATACGGCCTCGATTTTCTGAGCCTCTGCTTTGAGTTTGGCCTCTTCGACCGCTGCCTCTCCCTGAATGCGAGCTGCCTCGGCTCTAGATTGTGCCTCAGCCTTCGCCGCTCCTGTACTCTCCACTGCAGCACTGGGAAACACACACACTGATTATTGACCGTGAAAACCTTAAATGTGCAGACAAACATTAGCATAGCATTGGCCCTCGCAGTGAACTCACCTCTGAGCCTCCAGCTCAAGCAGTTCCTTCCTGGCTTTCTCTGCCTCTGCCTGGTCTGTGATCTTCTGCCTCTCCAGGCGACCCCGAGCCTCCTGCTCCAGACGCTCTGCCTCGTGTCTGAAAGAAGGAAAATGAATGTAAATGGGCATGACAGACAAATACATGTGGAAAATGGGGTAAGCTGACAGAATAACAGAAGCTTAAGAACAACATCAGAGTAAAGCATTGTTAATGTAAATTGATAAATTCAGAGAGACTGAGAATTAGAGAAATTAGACAAATCTCAGACTCTCGCATAGGATTGTTGCATTTTGCTCCCTAGTGGAAGGTGCACAGAACTTTCACATTTGTTATGAAGCAGCTTACCCTCCATTTATTCACCATGATAAAATAAATAATGTATGAATATATCCACACAAAACCAATGACTGTCAATACATCTGAACGAAAAACATAGTAGGCTTTCAAAAGCATGTAAATAATTCTAGGGTGGAATGTAAATAATTATTTAACAATTATAAAATATTTTTTCACATCCACCCATTTTACAGAATTAGTGTTTAAGTGCAAAAATATTGGTAATTCTCACTTTGTTTCTCACTAATCTAATAGTTTTGATAAAAAATAATCATATATTTCAATTAGGGCTGTCAGTTTAACGCGTTAACGTAATTAATTAGTGAAAATAACGTGATTAAAAGACCTTTATGTCATCTTACATTTCATACATGTCAGAGAAAAAAAATCTTGACCAAGGGCGCAAGCAAGCAAGACTATGTTTGCTCCAGAGAGGGAACAAATGTCAAAAACAAAAAGTGGATCCCATTGCAAAAAAAACTGAAAAATCCACATCCAGGCACTCACATAGCAAGCAAAGTAAAAAGCCTTTTATTATAAGACAGGGCGACATATTAAAAAGCACCAACGCGTATCAGCCCAAGCAGGCCTTCATCAGACAATAGAGAATGAGAAATTGTTAAATAGATACACCTGTGGCTATATATTTTCAAGATCTAACCACTAGATGTCCTAGACATTTTCAGGATATAACTATAATCACAGGTCTATTTATTTAGAGAAAGCTCTTAAACTCCTAAGGGACATCTAGTGGTTAGATCTTAAAAATGTATAGCCATGATGAACCCTTGATGTATTCCCCAATTGTAAGTCGCTTTGGATAAAAGCGTCTGCTAAATGAATAAATGTAAATGTAAATATTGTCTGTTTTTGCTCAACTTTGCTAAGGCAAATATTACCGATAAAGTCAAAGCAGAATTGTTATGCGTCTCTGAGCAATACAGCGTTTTTTTTGTTTGTAGAAAAAAAGATACAAAATTACAATTTAAAAATAAAAATACACAGCGGTGTTTAGTTTCTGAATGAATCTGCGTTTTTAACGAATTAATGAATGACTCATAAAGTCATTTACCACCACTTGCTGGCAGTTTTAGTTTCTTATTTAGAGTATCATTTCAGTAAAGTAAAAATAATAATAATAATAATAATAATAATAATAAAAAAGGCTTTAAAAGGGATAGTTCACCCCAAAATTTAAATTCTGTCATCATTTACTCACCCTCATGTCGTTTCAAACCTGTATGAGACTTACTTTCTTTTGTGGAACATAAAAGAAGGTATTTTGAAAACTGTTGGTAACAAAGCTGTTTTGGTTACCGATGACTTGCATCAACGAAAATACTGAGATGTTTCTTAAATCATCTTCTTTTATGTTCCATAGTTTATGTTAGGCTGTTGTAACCTAAAAGTTTATGTGTACTAAATTTTATATTGAATCAAATAAAATTTCTTTATAAAGATACTATTTAATGTCTACTGATGCTTTTAAAATAACAGCTTTAAATTATCGTTAGTGGTATTTTCAAAGCCAAATTTAGTTTCGATTAATTAGATAAATTAATCGCCACATCATGTAATTACATTGTAATTAATAGTAATTAATAGGCTATTCTATTTATTAAAACCAAGTATAAATCTCATCAGTTCAATTTCTTTATAAAGATACTATTTAATGTCTACTGATGCTTTTAAAATAACAGCTTTAAATTATCGTTTGTGGTATTTTCAAAGCCAAATTTAGTTTCGATTAATTAGATAAATTAATCGCCACATCATGTAATTAATTACATTGTAATTAATAGTAATTAATAGGCTATTCTATTTATTAAAACCAAGTATAAATCTCATCAGTTTAGTGTTTGTAAGCAACAAGCACGAACACAAGAGGAGGGATTTATCATACGAACCAATCACAACCTATCATAACCTGTCATATCCAATCTTATCATGATGGAGGCATTGCCTCTTGTCACGTGACTTTCCCCCATTCATTCTCAATTACCCCCATCACAGTGACATCACAGTAGGGGTAAGCCCCGTCCATGACTGGTGACGATTTGCCCTACTTGCATTGACCCCGCCCTGATTGAACCTCACATACTGTAATTCGCCATGTTTATATTGTCACTATAGCTCATATTTACATATTGTCTTTGCAACATAAACATTACAAATATTGTAATCATAGGCGGAGCGTGCGTAAGGCTTAGCCTTCCCCTGGCCACGGGGACTTGGGCCAAAATGCCACTAAATTGGACAAAAATGCCCCTGCACAAACAAATTAAATTTGATGAAAAAGTGTGCGTGCGTTCGCTTACTGAATTCTGGACTCTTGCGAATTCTCTCATCATAAACAACAAAGCGCAGATGTATGTACAATGTAAGTAAGAGATTCATTTAACAGTGTATACAGCTTCAGTAATTATAACGATAGTTTTTTTTTTTGAGAGTGCTTAAACTCGTGATAGATAAATGTTAGTGATAAATTTCTATATATAATTTATTCCTATTCGCTGAAAGGAAAAGTTATATAATTAGCCATTTCTAACGTTTTTATTAAATTGTAATCACGTTAAATACAAATTCAGTCCCACTAAAAAAAAATTTGCCTACATGACACCCATGTCTGGTTCTTGCTTAAAAAGACGGGTTTATGATGTTTAATACATTTGGCTGCTTTTAGCCTTACCTTGGAGTTGGTTCACCCTCCGCCTATGATTGTAATGTTTTATATCTGAAGCGTGAGCTGTAAATGCTCCGCCCTCTTCTGGAAAGTGGGCGGAAGCAGCAGCTCATTTGCATTTAATGGAACACACAAAAAAGATGTGTTTTTGCTCACACCCAAAAAAATCTGTGGGGGATTTTGAGCTGAAACTTCACAGACACATTCTGGGGACACCAGAGACTATATTATATTGGAGGAAATGCCCCTGCATTAAACTGACTAGTGAAAACCTTAGTAAATCACGTTGTGTGATTTCTTTAAAAACTTTTGCATCTGAAAGGGAAACTCCTACAAATGCATATACAATAAGGTCCGTCGCAAAAAATGACTTTGTCCATGCCTTTTCGGCACTAATTTTTCACTGCATGCCTTTAGTACATCCTGACAATATTTTTTTAATGCCAAAAGAGGGTTTGTGCTAGTGCAAGTAAATCTGGGCATAATAAAATAATGCAGAATTCTGTAAAATAAGAAATTTTAAAAATTCAAGAAATTTAATTTAAATAATTATACTTCAATTATTTAAATAATTCTATGTAAATTCAATATTTCAAATGTTTAAATAATTCATTTAATAAAAAAAATAATAACAATTTAAAGAAAAAAGTCATAAAGAGAGTGAGATGAAGTGTACCGTGCAGTAGCCTCCTGTGAATTGGTGGTGATTTCGATGGCTAGTTGCACACTCTTCTGCAGGGCGTCACGGGTGCGCTGGTCCACCGGCTCCACAGACTGAATGTCCACACTGCTGATGACTAGCCCATTCTGATTAAAGCGCAGACTGGACCGCACCGCAAGCTTCTCATCAAAACCAAAGACGGCCGAACAGATGATCCTGTTAGAGTTCTGAAAGAGGAATAGATGCGTGTGATCAGAGCAGAGAACGTAAAACAAGATGCAGGCACAGTTTTAAAGTCATGGTTTATACAACTAAGCCAGACTTTTTGAACCATGTCATCAATTAATGTTTAATGAATGACATTGCTTAACATTCATTGCTATGGCTTGAATCTGGATTTTGTTGCCTGTTTTCTGCAGCTGGAAGGATGATTTGAATATTTTTGTTATTTGACGGCTTTCACTTCACCTGTTTATTTGATATTAGTTTTTCAGTTTAATAAAAACTTGTCAGCAGTATTATACCATCTCCACCGCTGTGAATTTCCTTGTGATTATGCAAACATTTTTATTTAATGAAATTTCACTTTCTTATCTGTTGTGAATCCTGTTTGAGGAATTCCATGGTTAGGTTTTTTAGATCTGAAACTGGCTGTTTGTGCCCTCTTCCACAATTTATTGCTGATTCCTTTGTTTCTTTTGATGTTTTTTTTCCAATGTGTCATTTGACAACATTGTTTACTTTAGAGGAGCAATTATAAATAACTCTAGATTTCTCAATTATAAAGAAAAGAGTAAGGATATGACATTATTTCAATATTGCACCATGAAAGAGTATTTAGATGGTTTCACAAAGGTTTAGCAAAAAGTATCTTGCTATGATGAGACGGAAGCCCTGTTCACACCAAGAACGATGACTATAAAGATCACCATAAAGATAAAGATATTAGCGTCCACACCAGTGAACAATATCGTCTGTTTATTCTAAGCGCACACTGGTCTGCTGCTTTAAATTATTGAGCTTGTTACAGCAGGATGGATTTTGATCATCAAGTCAACCATCACTGCAGCCCTCCACCAGTCGGGGCTTTATGGTACTGTATTTTTTTTTCTTCATAAATTCAGAGTAAATTTTAGTATGAAAGTTCTTGGTGAATCATTATTTTGATTAGTATAAAAAGAGACATTAGAAAATAATGTCCTGTGAGATAGTAAAAATTATACATATAACATGAGATTAAACAAAGCCGCTGATTAAAGCTGTCAATCATGTGTTTCTTTTTTTCAAAATGTACGAAATTTTTGTGGCCTGTAATCATATTCTCTGATGTATGCATTTTTGAAACCATGTGTTTTACTTTCAAATTTAAAAAAAACAGTCATATGATTTATTGATTTTAGGCAAGTTTCTATTAAAATGTGATTGGCTAACATGTACCAACGCCTTTTATGGAACCAATATATAACACCATAACAGAAACCGATCCCAACAAAGGAAGATCTTCAGTCAAACAGCTGTCTTCTGCAACACTCCAGAAGATTCTGCATTTACTGGTAAGGCTGTGATGTACTGATCTGATGAAAAGCTCTGCAATTTTTATAAAATTGAAATAACTGAATTTTTGACCATTTTGTCTATGCATAAACTATTGTGTTTTCTTACTTGCAATATATAAGTTTTGTATAAAATATTTGATCAAAAGTTTCCATATCTTTAAAAAAATGATCCATATTTTAAAGTAAATGTTCCTTTAATACTACGAAAGAGTTTGTGACCTTATAGCTAAAAGTTGTGCAATCACTATCATTTACAGGATTAATTTCATAAAATATAAATTTAAAGAAGAGAGATATAAACATGCTAACAAAGACTGAAATGTGAGAATTATAATATAGAAGTGAGTGTATCCGGAAAGGACAAAATGCAAAAATATAGATCATTATAAAATGAAAACAAAAATACATATTCAGGCTCTCACACAGACTTTAATGTTAAAAATGCCTGTATTGTTTGCGTACTTAGGAACTCTGTACTGTGGGATATAATCTTTTTTGTTAAGGATAATGTTTAAAATGATACAGTTTCTTTTTCAATTACTTAAATTATATGATAAGCAAATTATGTATGGTTTCTTCTGCAGAATTTTACAGTTCCTCTGTGCAAAGTAAATAAATAAGTAAAGGAAATGTCAACCGGACAGAAAATAACTAACCTTGAAGTCTCCACCACTCCATTACAAGAAGAGCAATTCAGAAAACAACTCTATCAGAAGATTGAGGTTAACCTCAATGAAGGCATCAAAGAACCTAAACCCCAGGTCTTTCTTTGGTACAAGAAAGATCCTCAAATCCAACCAATAACCAGAATCGAGTTTTCATTCAACAATGACATGAAAACTGGTCTGGTTGATGCAGAGTATACACAGATCGACAAGGATCTGAATGCAGGAGTTAGTGGAGATCACATCTTTCTGTGGTACTTCCGTGGCAGCACTCCAAATGATAATCCGATTATAAGCCTGAAAGTAACCAAAGACGCCAAAGAAGAACCTGCTCTTCTGCTAGAAGGCTGGGAGAGACTGGGCTGTGATCTGAACCGTAATGCAGGTGGAAACGTCATCTATCTCTGGGTGAAGAGAGAGAGGCTGAACTACATCTCTGAGGTCACAGCATCTGTTGACTTCTATGCTGACAAGCACCTGTTTGAGCTGGGCTTCACTCGTGTGGATGAAGACACCAATCGCGATGCCCGTGGATACCAAATTTTCATTTGGTATCGGCGCACAACTGATATAAGCAAAGCCCTCACTGCTCTTGATGTTTCCACAAGTCCTCGAGAAGAGTCTAGCCTTAAGGCTAAGGGTTTCAGAAAAGTTAATGCCGACCTTAATAAAGGAACAAGTGGAGACAGTGTCTACCTGTGGTACAAAGGAAAATGTGATGCACAGATAAAAACCATGGTTCTACTGGTCAATCCTCAGGCTTGGGATGAGTATGCAAAGGCCGGTATTGTTGTTATTAACAAAAACCTGAATAGTGGCAACAAAGGCAGGGAAATGTACCTGGCATATAAGTAAAAGAACAAAATTGGCCTCATGGTTTGAAAACACCCTATTAAAGAATCAAATCATTACCACTGTATGGCAACTATGTCACGTAAATGATTAAAACATAACAATTTTTCACACAATCAACCAATTAGTAATACAAGCACGTCTTGACACTAATCTAGTTTTAGAGCAATCTGTGATTTTAAATGTACTGTTTTTTTAACCATGTTATGATTATTTTAAAAAAGCATACTGAGATTTTAATTTTCTTTTGTGTTTGTTATAACGCATTGTGAATTAAAGTCAGCTATTAACATGTTATAATGCATTGTGAATAAAATTCAGCTATTAGCATCATAGTCATCTTTTATGTGTTCTTGCTTTTCTTTTTAGAGGCTTAATCATACATGGGTTTTCAAAGCAAATTGCAGGTTTTCACATAATGACTTATTGCAACACAATTATGGTCAAAGGTTGAGGCACTAAACCTGTAGGAAAGAGAAGTATACCAGAGCAATTGATCTCTAAATGTGTGTCACATACCTTGTGGAAATCGTCAAACTGCACTGAGGCCACTGCACCTCTGATTCTGGAAGCGATGGCTTTGCACGCGTCACCTACAAAGTCTGGCACGGAGAACAGAGCCGTAGCCTTGGCTGCTTCAGCGGGTTGTTTGATATCAAAGTGCCTGACACAGAAAGAAAGGAAGAGAGGTCACTCCTCTGATCAGCTTAATGATATTGTTTATTTTCACTTATAATATGGGGCCGTTGAATGCTTGAATCAGATTGGCTGATGAACATCCTAAGGTGTGCAGTTGTTTTCAGGGAAACTTACGGCTAAATTAGTTCCAGGCAGGTCTTGACTGCATTACATATCCATATCACTTCACCAAACGATTTCAAAAGGTCCTTACAGCTCACAACAGCAAAATAATCAAAACCCACAACGATACTGACCAAGCAAATAAATATAGTAAACAACAAGATAAAAATGACAAATCAATTCCCTGTTTTTGCCACAAAATTGTGTTTTATTATTTATGAAAAGCACATACTCCCTTTCTCCCACTCTCTCTCCATTAAACGCACACACATACAGTACAGACACACACTGGCACAGAAATGTGTTATCAGTAAAACAGTTTAGCAACTTAAAAGCTACATGACTCAAAAGTGAGGTAACAGCAGCTCTGTTCTTGAAGAAAATCAGCTTAAAGTTTCACTACTAGTAGAGTCGCTGCTGCCAAACTCTGTTGAGAGATGCACAGCTCTCTCTCGCTCTCTTAACTTAGTTATTAACTGCATTAGTCTGCTATCAACAGCTCAAGCCTCCATTACTAGATCTAAAATGACGTTTTGAAATTAGCAATGGAGTTTAAATGAGATGCGTAAGAAATTAATTCTACACACTATAGCGTTTTAAGGACAAAAACCTGAAGAATGTCTTGACATACAACATCTGAACAATATTTGAGGTGTGCTAACTGTAGTATAAGCGGAATAACTGATTTCGGTCCATTGAATTATTCGAAAATAATGCACACCCGAGGTGTAACAGCCACTACCCTTGCATCGTGGCTGCATCCCCACCTCAAGTGTTGCATTATTTTCTAATAATTCAACGGCCTGTCGTCAAGTATTCCTTACCTTATTATTACTCCTCGATACATTCCTAATAAGGCTTTAGATCACACAGACACAACATACCAGTTGTAAGAGAGCTGCAGCTGCAAGCGAGCGTGATCGGCCGTCTCGATGGTGATGATGTCCGTGCAAAAGTCTGGGCCAAGCAGGAGACAAATGGCTTTGATGACATTAGGATGTTTGGGTTTGTCTCCGGATAGGGAAAGAATTGTAAACTGTTCATCAGGACCCAGCATCACCATTTCAGGGCCAAACACCACCCTGTGAGAGAAACAGAATGGGAAAGAGAGAAAGAGAATGGCAAAGGTGATTTACAATGTCCAAATTATGAAATCCAAGATCTAATTTAAGTTAACTTAGAAATGTAACAATTAATTAACTACACAAAAAATGATTAAATAAAACAAATAAATAATAAAAATAAAACTACTTTTAAGATGAATTCCACAGAACTAAAATATGAACCTAAAAGTCTTAGGAAAGATGTTGCATAAACATATGATTGTCACTCAAACAAGTATCACTACATACCTGGCCTTCTTCTCTCTGTAGTCGTACACCTGCACGGCCGCATTGTGTGGGACACGATAGGACACTACTCTGGTTTGATCTCTCTCAGCTTGGGCAAGGTTTCTTCCTCGCTCCGAGCGGTCAGCTAGTGATTGAGACAGAAGAGTCTCCACATTGGCTGGAAGCTCTTTCTCCCACAGTTCCTCATCCTGTGTTAGCATGTAGGTCTGGCCAATCACAGCACGCACCTGAGAAACCGACATAAGGTCAGCTGGGATATAAAGCACTTGAATTTCATGAGGTTGTTTGTGAGGTTTTAGCGTTTACCCTTGAGGTTGTTTGGTTTTGTCAATATTAATTAAATGAATCAAACTCAAGCTACAATGTAGTTCTTCAATAAGAAACATGACACTGCCTTATTAAGTTACATTCATTATGTTACATTTCCTAAATTGTCTAAACTGAAATAAAAGATTAAGGAATATTTCACTTCAAAATTTTAAAATTCTTTATTTCTTATTCTTATATAACCCATATCATTTTTTTTGTCTGTCTAACACAAAAGTTAGATTTTTGGATAATTGTCCTAGCTAGTCTTTTCCTTAAAATTAAACTGAATGGAGAAAAATTAAAAAAAAAAAATTATTCATGAAATAAATATTGCTAGCGCTTTATTGTGTCCAAGTGTCCTTGTTCCACATGTTACATGTACTTACTATTATAATAACAATAAATTATGCATAGTTACATGCAAGTAACCCTAATACTAACCCTAACCATATACTAAGTACATGTAGTTAATTAATATTACCCAGTACTTAAATATATAATTACATTGTAACAAGGACACCTTAAAATAAAGTGTAACTTAAATATTTATAATAATATTTATTTTAATGGTATATCTGTTATTTTAATATTCTGAAGCCGTAAGACAGCTTTGTGTGTGGAATAATCTGAAATTTAAACCAATATTCACAAAAAAAGCTGTGGCTTATAATCAAATTTATGATGTCATTAGATGCACACTGTCACGAATCCGGTCCATGGACTTCCATCTGCTAGCCATCAGAGGTCACCCTTTCCAATTTCATTGACTCTCGCACTACACACTGTTGCACATCACCCCGGACTACATATCCCATCATTCATTGCACTGATTGCACTCAGCACGGATTGCACACAGCTGTTAACACTGATTGCACCCAGCTGTTTCATATCACTCCCTCACTATTTAACACTCACTCTGATCCCTTCCCTCGGCCGAGTTTTGTTTAGCATTTATCAGTTTGATAGCTACATTACAGAGCCCTCGTTAGCTGCCTAGTCTGGCCTTGCCTTGCCTTGCCTTGCCTTGCCTGTGTTCTCGGTTTTTGATCTTCACCTGTTTTCCTGGATTTATCCCTTTAGTCTTGTCCCTTTTGATTCTGTCTGCCGATCGTCGAGCTATGCTAGCCCTAGGACCATTCTTGTGTTTTGCCCGCCATATACCTGTCTGCCTTTATCTGACCCATGCCTGTTTCAGGACAACATCTCGGTCTTCTAAATAAAAGCTTGCATATGGATCCGCACGTCTCACGTCTTGTCAGCCCCGTAACACACACTTTACAACAAATGAAGTTGTACATTTTAGCCTCTGTAAAGCTTGACAATTTCATTTTTGCCTGAACAATTGCTTTAACTGACACTGAACTCCATGCTCTCAGGCCTAGTCTCAAAATATCCTCTAATTTTCCCATGTGACAATTCTTAACAGTTTAAACACTCAAATGTGATTCTGAAAATGGTAGAAATTTAAAGAAAGCATTTGGTCGATCGATTCTTTACAATCTTCGAATCTTGCCTTTCCAGTTTTGATGTCACGGACGTAAATGCCCTCATTCTCATCCAGCGGGATAGCATCTCGTCTAAGCAGCACCTCTACGGTGGCGGGCGGCACATATTCGATTGGGCCGCGCAGCATCCAACGGTCACCTGGACGCCGCTGTATTCCCCTCTTTTTGGCTCGGCTTTCCCCTTCTTCTTCATCTAGCTCTTCCTGCTGAAGCGTTGAGGTGCGGGAAGGTGGGGTGAATGAAAGAAGGAGGGAGGAGTAACAATGGCAAACATTAGTGTAAGGTGGGGACGGACACTGCAGCACAAGTGGCATACGATCAGACTGTGTGTATGTGCGTGTGTATAAGCCAAGGTGAATGACAAGAAAAGAAAAAAAAAAGGAAGGGAATGCATAAAAATCATATTTATCAAAACAAAAATGAGGATGGGAATTAAAGTATTCATAATAGGGAGGGGGAAGAAGGGAATGAATTAATGAAGGAAGTGATTCACCCCTCTGTCTGACATATTAGTGCTCTAAATGGCAGTTAAATGATGATTTACATTCACACAATATATTCATTGATCCAAAATCAAGTTCTTCCTGTTCACACAATTTATGACAAGGCGATTTATGAGTTTGAAAAAGCGCTCTAAACACAAACCTAGTTCACAAACACAAAAAAACAAGTGGGTGAAAAAGCACTCTCTTGTCTTATCGTATAAACAAAGACATACATTTCGGGAATGCTAAAAGAGTTATATGAACTATTGAGAACAAGGGGCGAGGGCAGCACCCTGTGAAACAGGTAACGTCTGTAAACACAATACACCCACTCTCTATTTGTCTTCTTTTGTTCTGAAATCTCCAACAACCTTGTCGGTCTACACCCTGCATTTTCATTCATTTCTCCCCTTGTTAGAATACTTCTTGAATGAATCCGAGCTCTCTTCTTTTTTCTACTGCAGACCGCAGTTGTTCAGAACACCTTCAACCTGCACATGCAGCTGTTCATACACTTGATTTCTAGTTAATTATGTACTAAATGAGTGATTTTAGTAATTCATTGCGGTTGATCAAACATGTGCTTTACCCCCTCAGTGTCAACGAAGGCTTCGACAGCACGCAGCACGAGCCCCTCCTCCTCTGACAGCACGTACACATCCTGAATGCCGTTCTCCAAATGCTCTCCTGGCCTGAGGAAGAACGAACGCTCACCCTGTGAGACAGAGAGAAATTGGATGTATACATTTGAAATTTACATTGCTAAGTTATTATACAAGTTACTTTTAATTAGAAATCTAATATATAATCCATATGTATGGTTCTATTAGAATTCACAAGGGAATGCATAAAAATCATATTTATCAAAACAAAAATGAGGATGGGAATTAAAGTATTCATAATAGGGAGGGGGAAGAAGGGAATGAATTAATGAAGGAAGTGATTCACCCCTCTGTCTGACATATTAGTGCTCTAAATGTCAGTTAAATGATGATTTACATTCACACAATATATTCATTGATCCAGAATCAAGTTCTTCCTGTTCACACAATTTATGACAAGGCGATTTATGAGTTTGAAAAAGCGCTCTAAACACAAACCTAGTTCACAAACACAAAAAAACAAGTGGGTGAAAAAGCACTCTCTTGTCTTATCGTATAAACAAAGACATACATTTCGGGAATGCTAAAAGAGTTATATGAACTATTGAGAACAAGGGGCGAGGGCAGCACCCTGTGAAACAGGTAACGTCTGTAAAGACCTGCAGACGCAGGGCTGTGTCTGGGTACACAATCTGCAGTGGCGTCACATCCTGTGAGAGACAGATAAATACAAGAAGAAGAAGAAAATGGTAATCATTGGTAATAATTATATTAGAATGTAAAACATAATAAATAATAAGAGAATTGCTGCAAAATGGTGCTCGTTGTGATCTAGTCAACGTTAGCTGATGGGAAAAAAAACATAGGTGTGGCACAGATTTGCCACTTTTTGACGGAAACCACCACATGTTGAAACTACCCACAAGTCTGAGCTCTTAAGCCACAAGCTGCAAAGCATCATGTTTCTCAACTCCATACCTTCTGAATCTCTTCACCAGGGAAGAGGGGGAAGGGGTCCTGGGTCAGGCGTATCTCCAGGTCAGCATGTCTGAGCTTCGCTTGACCTGATGCATCAAACTGAACTTGGCCTTCAGCATTACGGGCAACGGGGTTGAGCACAACACAATAGTGCCTGGGCGGCACCATGATCATGCGGACAGGGGCAAACAGAACCCTAAAAGAAAACAGGAGGAAGATTTCAGTGAATCATGTAATATCAGGACACATACACTATCGTTCAAAAGTATGGGGTCAGTACATTTTCTTACACTTTTATTCAATAAGGATGCATTTAATTAATCAAAGGTCACAGTTAAGACATATAATGTTACACAATACTTTTAATAAATGCTGCTCCGGGTACACAATCTGCAGTGGCGTCACATCCTGTGAGAGACAGATAAATACAAGAAGAAGAAAATGGTAATCATTGGTAATAATTATATTAGAATGTAAAACATAATAAATAATAAGAGAATTGCTGCAAAATGGTGCTCGTTGTGATCTAGTCAACGTTAGCTGATGGGAAAAAACACATAGGTGTGGCACAGATTTGCCACTTTTTGACGGAAACCACCACATGTTGAAACTACCCACAAGTCTGAGCTCTTAAGCCACAAGCTGCAAAGCATCATGTTTCTCAACTCCATACCTTCTGAATCTCTTCACCAGGGAAGAGGGGGAAGGGGTCCTGGGTCAGGCGGATCTCCAGGTCAGCATGTCTGAGCTTCGCTTGACCTGATGCATCAAACTGAACTTGGCCTTCAGCATTACGGGCAACGGGGTTGAGCACAACACAATAGTGCCTGGGCGGCACCATGATCATGCGGACAGGGGCAAACAGAACCCTAAAAGAAAACAGGAGGAAGATTTCAGTGAATCATGTAATATCAGGACACATACACTATCGTTCAAAAGTATGGGGTCAGTACATTTTCTTACACTTTTATTCAATAAGGATGCATTTAATTAATCAAAGGTCACAGTTAAGACATATAATGTTACACAATACTTTTAATAAATGCTGCTCTCTTAAACGTTCTATTAATCAAAGAAAAACATTATCACAGTTTCCACAGAAATATTAAGCAGCACAACTGTTTTCAATATTGACAATAATTAGATATGTTTCTTAAGCAGCAAATCATCATATCAGAATGATTTCTGAAGGATCTGGAGTAAGGATGCTGAAAATTCAGCCATCACAGGAATAAATTATAAAAATAGAAAACTTTTTTTTAATTGTAATATTATTTCACAATATAACGGTTTTCACTGTATTTTTGATCAAATAAATGCAGCCTTGGTAAGCATAAGAAACTTCTTTCAAAAACATTAACAATTCTTAATAACCCCAAACATTTGAACTGATATAGTGATTTGTATTTGTAGAAATAACTGAAAGTTTGAGATGAAGTTTTGTAAAGAAGAGTGAAAAAGAAACTGAAAGACTAAAAATAAATCTATGAAACATAGAACACTATTAATAAATAGTTCATATCAGCTGTTGTTTGGATTCTGGGCAATGGAGGATTTGAAATAGGCTTGATTACACACCACGTATCCCAGCAACTCTCTCTTTCATCACAGCTTGAAACCGGACACGCTCCTAATTTGCAAATGTCCTACATATAATGCACCAGTTTAGCCACTAAAATGTCGTTGTATTAATTAAAATTAAAAATCTATTTACATCAAATCTAAAAAAGATCAAACCAGTGGGAACCTGTGTTTCAAGGGCTGTTGCATCATACAGTAGTTAACCTGATGCTTTCCAGGTTACCTCTCATTGTCCTGGCGTATATAGGTGAGAGGGCCGAGCTCCACCCGTGCAATGTTGGTGTTCTGATCCAACACATGGATGTAGTGGTGAGGTGGGATCCTGATGATTGAGGCACCGAGCAGTTGATCAGCGTCCATATTTCTTCCCACTGGTACACCTTACAAACTCTAATTTGGAGGAATGTAGAGATTAGTGACCAAAATGCAGTCAAATGACAGAGATATAGTGATAATCTGTGCATGCGACTACTTCTTCAGGGTCATGTGATATTATTCCCACAATATGATTAAACATTTATGCTTTCTTCCATCCGCTCCGTGATAACTTAAAAAGCTTCCTCTGTCTATGTCAGTATGTATTATTCATTAAAATCCAATAATATAAAGGTCAGCAGAATTCGTTTTCATGAGCGAACACACCTCAGCTTCTTATCTCTGTGGGACAAATTCATGATAGCGCTGCCAAGGGTCAGGTGACAACACTTAGCTTGTTGTCTATTTAAACTGGGATTATAACTGATAAAATGCTGATAAGTCCTTGATTTTATGAAGTCTAAATTATAGATTTTAGTTTGTAGCAAGAAAAGACTCCCAATCAAAGTTCTTCTCACACACACCCACACAATTGTTAGAACAACCTCTAAGAATGTTGCCCAACACTTTAATCGCTCCTTAACCTAAACTAGTGATATCAGGTAGTTTAGCTGGCAAATTCAGTTAAAGATAATGCCATGCAATCTAACTGTTCTTCAAAGAAAAAAGTCTAATTTTTCATGACCCCTTCAGACTGTGTGTGCATTGTAACGGACACTCCTTTCTCTGGTGTGTATTTATTAATTTGTCATTTGGTGCCAAGCACATTTCAATGGATTATTGGATTAGGTGCTACAAAGTCACCTATGACATTATTGCTTTTTGACAAAGAGCATATTAATTTGAAATTAAGCAAGGTGGACTTTGTTACAATGGGCAGAAAAATATGGCATAATTTTAACTATTATAGTTACAGTGGGTACGGAAAGTATTCAGACCCCCTTAAATTTTTCACTCTTTGTTATATTGCAGCCATTTGCCTTAGAACTTTATCGATAACAGTTTTACTGTTTCGGTGTGAATTGGATATATAATATACGGTCATAATATCATTATTGCAGTCACATTTCTTACATTTCCGTCTTAATGTTATATACTATTACAAAACTTCTAGATAATCCTCCTACACATTTGACCAGGCCTTGGCTGACAGCGTTCAAATTAACATTTGAAATAACTATTAAAACACCATAAGCAGATGTTTTATTATTTATGGCTGCATTCAGAACAGGGAAAAAAACATATTTTATGCCCCTGGCACATGTTTTGTGTTTGTTGGCTGTAATATGTAAATGTACGCATACACTAGGGATGGGCGTATCGATCCAAAGTATCGATACATCGATACTGACGCGAGTATCGAAAGTATCGATACTCAAACAAAAAATATCGATACTAAGGTGTGTTTTATTTACCAGTGATTTTGTTAATTTAACAAAAATATAATGCGTACAATATGCATTGAATTGGACGAATAACCTTTGTTAGCGAGTAATTGTGTAGGATAGAACTATTTTCCTGCTCATCTGAACACACGCAAATGTTGCAAGACAGAACCAATCAATCACAGAGAGCGTTCACTCACTGCTGACAGTGCATTCAAACAGGGCTGCTTTCCCCAAAAGTATCATAAGAAAGCATTAAAGCTTTTGGTAACGGCAGCCCTGAACAATGCTTATCAGAGGACAGAAGGACAGAGTTATTTCACAATAAACAAACTGAAATTGTAGCCTACATAGTTTGTGCAATTACAGTTATTTAAATTGAACGTTGAAATATATAAGGCGTATTGAATGTTAAAATGCATTTTAAACATAAAGTTAAGTGCTTATTATTACCCATTTTACTCTTAGTAATTTAATAATTTAATACATTTCATCATTTAAAAGTTTAGTGCAGAAGTATCGAATCGGTATCGATATCGACGATACTGCCTTGAAAAATATCGGTATCGTATCGAAAACAAAATAAGTGGTATCGCCCATCCCTAGGCATACACAAGTTCACTCTCCACAGCAACACCCACAAAACAAACACATTTACTTGCACTCTCAAGTCACTCGAGCGAGTCTTCCGCACGCCGCGGCGTCAGTACGTGGGCTGGCCACGGTCAAGGTGCACCAATAGGAAAGCGTGTAGTCTGAGCTCTGAGGATGAACGCGGAAATTACAGAATTACATTAATCCAATCTATTACTCTAGGGACGATCAAAACTGCAGTATCCCATGGCATCTGAAAGAACTGACTAAAGGTTGGCACGACAAAACGGTAAAAGCCTGCGATTAACGATATCACAAATTAAACTACTGTTTATTTTGATTTCTTCATCTGATGATACGCGTGTAAAGATCAAGTTAAAGTCCAAATAGACTGCGATAGTTTTCCACGACTGAAAACGGAAATAATTGTCTATGTTTTGCATATAATATCTTCATTCGTTCACCTTCACCGTGACAATTAAGCAACATTCACAACTAAGCAAGTTAGATGAATGTAGCTGCCCTAATTTATCCTTTCAAGACTCGTCTTCCAAAAATTGCGACATAAACGAGACTTACAGTTTCAGAAGAATGCGTCCTTAAAGCTGCCAGTCCGAGGTTGGATCCGTCAGTTAAAGACGACTGTATGAATGCAGTGCTATGGTTTATAATGACTCGCGCTGGTAGGTGTGTCGTCCCGGGAAGGAGGGGGCCTGGAGGGGGAGTGGAATTTCGAGAAGGCTCTGTCTGCGGAAGAGAGGGGCGTAACTGGAAGGGGGCGTAACTTGAAGTTGTCCAAGTCACACAGAACCACACGAGATGTCAAAACGAGATGTTGTCGGGCTGCGTCCGAGACCGCATAGTACATACTTAACGAGCGCTGAAAGAGTACATACTTTACAGCCTGAACGCGTCCAAGTAGATATAACTGCAGACCGGAGATCTCCAAAATGGGGCGTGAACTCCAAAAGTGGGCAGAACCTCCAAAATGGGGCGGGGTCTCCTCCCGCAAAGACTTTCACCATTGGCTCTGGCTCCAGCCAATTGTTATTGACTTACATTTCAAAATAAAACTTTATAAGTTAAACATTGTTTCTAGTTGATCTAAAATAAAATATGCTATATAAATAAATATTCTCCGTGAGAGCAGAGCCCAAAGCTCATGGCCAGTGGTGTTCGGACCGGAGTTTGAACCTCTGCTTCATGATATAAATGCGAATCACCCACGAGCTCTCCCGCGAGCCGTCCCAGCGCAGCGCAAATATTTTACTCTATCGCTTTGTTTTAAAGGGGTCCTATTATGCTTTTTCACTTTTTTTATTTTAGCCAGTGTGTAGTATGTATGTTTGGGCATAAAAAATAGAAGTTACAAATCTCAAAGTCCACTCCAAAGGGAGATATTTTGTTTTTTAAAAATCCATTTTCAAGAACTACCGCAAACGGCTCGTTTGGACTACAGCGTTTGGTTTCCGGGCTTTGTGATATCACAAAGCGGCTCATTAGAATTTCATTACAAAGAATTCCCGCCTACAGAAATTGGAATGGTTGGGGGAGGGGGAGGGGCGAGGTTGTGGTTAGAACGCTTGGTTGAGTGAGTGCATCAGACGAGACGACGAAGACTTCATATCACTTTTATTATATTTTGACTGTGCACTGTATCAGTGCATAATATTTTACCACTGTAACTGTAAGTTTTACTGGATCCATAAAGAATTATCAGTTGCATTTTTTTGTTGTGGAGTTTATCTGTATAGAGTGCTATCAAAATAAAAAGCAGACTACCAAGAGTGTCCCTTTTTGATTTGTATTCGCTGGTTTTATTCAATTTTCTCAATGAAAAATTGCTCAAATGGTAAATTATTAGTGCTTAAAGATGTATTATTTAGATTTACTTCCAGTATTTCAAAGGGAATGAGCTGTGTTCTGACCTGAAGCACAAGAAAAGCTAAAATGTTTGGGTTGAAGACAGAGAAAGCAATGAAACAACTTAATTTCATTTAATGTACATTCAAATTACAAAACGTGTGTATGTCACAGGTATACTACATTAACATTAGAATTGTAAACCGAAAAAAATCAATCAAATCAACAAGTGAGACAAGTATGAGTTTTCACAATTTCTTTCGAAAAATAATAATTTTCCAAACCTAAATAAATAACTGGAGGCTGAGTTATTTTTAACTCCATGTAGATCACAAACCTCTGATATAGGTTGATAAACGTAACGTAACCGTTATCATGTTTTTATCCAGAAAAAACTGCAGCTCCTCCGTTCACCTCCATTTATTTTTAAGGCAGTCTTGCCCTCACAAACATGGCGGACGCGTTGACGTATCGCAGCAAAGGCTCAAAGCGGCCAATGAGGCGTCTAGGTATTTATTATGTCTATGGTTACAGCCATTTATTATGTATACCTACTTGGAGGGACAGGGCATCACATACACAATATGGTGAGGGGCGTAACATTTCCGTCACACGCTTGAGGTATTCGGCCAATCACAACGTTCTGGATAGCTGGCCAATCAGAGCACACCTCGCTTTTCAGACCGATGAGCTTTGTAAAAATCGACACGTTTCAGAAAGGCGGTGCATAGAGGAGAAACAATAATGTACAGTAGGGATGGGCGATACCCCTTATTTTGTTTTCGATACGATACCGATATTTTTCAAGGCAGTATCGTCGATATCGATACCGATTCGATACTTCTGCACTAAACTTTTAAATTATGAAATTTATTAAATTCTTTAATGCTTTCTTACGATACTTTTGGGAAACGCAGCCGTTTGAATGCACTGTCAGCAGTGAGTGAACGCTCTCTGTGATTGATTAGTTCTGTCTTGCAACATCTGCGTGTGTTCAGATGAGCAGGAAAATAGTTCTATCCTACACAATTACTCGCTAACAAAGGTTATTCGTCCAATTCAATGCATATTGTACGCATTATTATTATTATTATTATTGTTAAATAAACAAAACCACTGGTAAATAAAGCGGACCTTAGTATCGATATTTTTGTTTGAGTATCGATACTTTCGATACTCGCGTCAGTATCGATATATCGATACTTCGGATTGATACGCCCATCCCTAATGTACAGTATGTGGAAAAGAATGTGTTTTTTGAACCTTAAACCGCATAAACACATTTCATTACACCAAATACACAAAATAATGTTCTTTTTAGCAACATCATATGACCCCTTTAACCTAAATCACAGCAGCGTCCATCTATGAAGGGTGTAGGCCAGGGTTCCTCAAATCTTGCCCTGTAGGTCCAATGCGCTGCAGAGTTTAGCTCCAACCCTGATCAAACTCAGCTACCTGTGATTTTTCTAATGATCCTGAAGACATTGATTAGCATATTAGCATGATAGCATGCTCAGGTGTGTTTGATTAGGGTTAGAGCTAAACTCTGCAGGAAAGTGGATCTCATGGGCCAGATTTGAGGATCCCTGGTGTAGGCTGTCTGTCAAACATACACAACTATTAGCCAATCATAGCAGTGAGTGTTTACTTCCGAGTCTACAATCCGCCATGAAAAGGGTTAAAAACAGGACAGAAAATAGTTCATAATCTCTAAATTATGATGTTTTTGATGTAAATATATTGATAACATTAAAAGCGGACCTCAGAGAACAGTACAACACAAAACAAAGGCAATTCATGACCCCTTTTAAACATTGCAAACCACAAACAGTGAAGCTCAACTGAAACAGACGTGTTCTGATCCAACACATGGACGTTGTTACTGGTTGTTGGGGGAGTTAAATTTCAAGTGCCAAAGGTGCCATAGTTGAAGAAACACCCACATGTTGCTCAGCATTCTAAAGCAACGAGCAGACGTCGACCAATAACAGTTATCGTTACTCATGTGGGCGTTCTTGTCTGTGTCCCTCTGTCCAATCAGAGATGGTCTATGTTGACGGTTCGGCGCATGCTCAGACATCACCTTCTCATGTGTTTCTTACGCAGGCTCCGGTGGAGGTCACTGTGATCTATCAGCGCAGTCGGTGAGTGGTCCACGTTGTTAGATACTAGCGGCATTTTAATATGGACTTGGTGTTCGTTTTACTTTACATAAAGGCCGATAATAATAATGTGGCGTTTTGAAAGAAACAAGCATGATTAGCGCGTCTTGGTGGTTAAAGTAGGCAGCGGGACTTTGTTGCATGTCAGTTGCAGCATTAGCGTGTAGCAGGCTAATTAAATAAACTTTGCTACAACGGTATTGTTTTAATCCCTCTTAGTTTTTCCCTCATGTAACTTATTGTGTTAGCGAATACCTATGTTACAAGGACAGTTTATTAATTGTAAGGTTTTTTACTCAAAGTGAGAACAGGTTAGCACGTTTCATTCATGTCAGTGTCACTGCTGTAGAGTCGAGGCTAACCAGTCAGAATGGTTTAATTATTCAAGGGTTTTTACATTCATGAAAGATGCCATAATGAGATGCTTAAGATGAATATGCTTCTCTCCCCAGGACTGTCACATTGCTGCCATGGCAAAGCTGTTTGAGTCCATTGGAAAGCTGGGATTGGCCTTGGCCGTAGGAGGAGGTGTAGTAAACTCTGCACTTTTCAATGGTAAGTTCAATGCTGAATTGCTTTCTAATGTACCTAATAAAACAGTGGCATAATTGTTTTGAGTTTATAAAAACCCAGGTGTTTCTTTGCCAGGTTTTCAATTATATTTGAAGAGCTGTTGTCTAACTCTGTGGGGTTTTTCATTGCAGTGGATGCGGGACACAGGGCGGTCATCTTCGACAGGTTTCGAGGTGTTCAGGATGCTGTTGTTGGGGAGGGCACGCACTTCCTAATTCCCTGGGTGCAGAAGCCAATCATCTTTGACTGCAGGTCCCGTCCACGCAATGTGCCTGTCATCACTGGTAGCAAAGGTACGTCATTCCTCAGTCTTTATTTCTCTTACTGTTTCTGTCTGGCTTCTGTTCTTCATTTATTCTAATTACAGATATAGAAAGACAGAGAGGCATAGTGATCCAAAATAAATTTTTCTTTTACTAATAAAACTTAGGAAACTGCACAATGGTCTGTCTTTGTCCCTCTCAGATTTGCAGAATGTCAACATCACGCTGAGGATCCTGTTCCGGCCAGTTGCTACACAGCTACCGCGGATTTTCACCAGCATCGGAGAGGACTATGATGAGAGAGTGCTGCCCTCCATCACCACCGAGGTCCTGAAGGCTGTAGTGGTGAGTATCATACATAACGCTGTGAAAACATGTAAACTATCAAAAAAGGCTCAGTAAGATTTTTTTTTTTTTAAAAAAAGAAGAAATTAATCATTTTATTCAGCAAGGATGGAATAAATTGTGAAATGTATAATGTTACAAAATAGTTCTATTTCAAATAAATGCTGTTCTTTCTGACTTTCTGTTCAAAGGATCCTGAAAAAAAAGTATCACTTCCCACACAAATATTAAGCAGTGCCACTTACATAGATAATAATTAATTAGATCATATTTATGAATTGAATGCCACCATAAAACTGTAATTATAAGTGGGATACTCAAAGTTGGGGGCATGTCAGTGTGTAAATATGTTGGAGTGCAATTAATGCAACATCTGTATGTTAAATGATTGAAATTATTTTTTCCACCATTTTTTATAAAACAGTGTCATGTACAAAATATAATTTTATTGTACAATTACAATTGAAAATATAGTACGATTTAATTTACAGAACCTTAAACTGAATAAAAAAACTTAAAGAAAAACACACTTTAAGCACACA